TACAATACTGCTTCCAAAAATCCATTAGCGGTTCCAATTTCATGAAATTTTCAAATGTTTATTTATCGTTCCTCTTGTACATCCTCGCTAGCTACATTATTATATTTAATTGCAACTTAAATCTAATGATAACTTACATAATACCGTCTCGTCATTCGGGTAAAGGCAGAAGGGGCATTTGCCTTTCCTCCCTCATGTCCGGCCAGGCATGATGTGCAACCCAACTAACGTGGTCTATAATATATGTGTGTCTGTATTGAATTTCTTCGTTTTTTCGGTTAAAAATATATAATACTGCTGTCTGCTACAGTTTTTCATACTTAAGCATAATAAATCAAGACTGTCTCATTTCGATTTGATATAATAATTCTTAGCCGGATGACACCCGTGAAATAATTACAAACTGCCACATTTTGTGTTGTAGCAATAAATTAATTAAAAAGAAAAACGAAATTGCCACATTTCTCATTACGGCTAATAAAATATTTGATTTGAAATGGTAATGATGATGATGATGTGGTCTGTTAAAAACCCATTGCTAAATAGCCATAACCTCAAATTGTGGTGTCTGGCTGAGATTTAACTAAGTAGCTTGAAATAAAAATAAGCATAAAGTAACAAAAATAATTGCAAAGTATTAAAATTAAAGCTTTAAAAGTTAAAATTAATCATTTGGGAGCAGGTTCAATCTTTAAGTTATATTTCATGTAAAACTTTATTTTTTGAGTTGTGACAGTTTTGTTTCAAGGGTGCGACATTATTGGTGTTAATTGTATGCAATAATTATAGGCTAATTTTAAGTGCTTTTATCAATACATATTTATATTTTTACTATATAAAACATACTATCGGTGACAATGTCATATTAACAATTTTATGCGTTTTTAATGAAAACGATTTTATCAATTTTGAGAGAAATTGTCGAATCGAGTTGAAATTTATAAAGAAAATATACTCACGCCATTAGTCTCAAATTTAAATAATACCCATTTGCCAGCCCCCACGGATTGTGCAAGATTTTTATGTTTTAAGCCGTAATTTTAGGACCTACTCTTTGAAAAAATTTGTTAAGAACCAGAACTCATAATATAGTAAAAATTCGGGATTATAGTTTTTTTTAATTGTCGCAAAACTGTGTTGGTAAATCTTAAAAAAAAAAAAATGATTAAATCATGCCAATATTTTTACGGATACTATTTAGAGTGGTCCCAGTAATTTTTGAGTGCTCAATTACCAGTTTTAGGTTTTAATTACATTTTTCAAAAGTGATTTTATCACATTCAGTCATCTCGGTCAACTCAAGTCCCTACCCAATTTAAATGGCTTTTTCCTTTGTGAATAGCCGTCGATAGCCATACTTTAGATTAGGTTACTATTTGTTTTACGGGCTATTAAAGGTAGTAGTTTAAAAAAAAACCTATGCCCAAAAATTGTATGTAAATATTATATCCGATTTGATAACATTTTCAAGTTTTGACAATTCGCTATGCCCTTCGAATTTTCAACGTAAAAAGTAACACTAAGATGTGCATACAAATGTGAAATTCGAACATTGACAATTTTATATATTGTTTTTGTCGTTAGATCGACGTATTTTTCTGCTTGAATATTTATCGATGGAAAAAAATGCACTAAAACATTTACATGTGTGCACAAGTGCCGAAATTGTATGATTTTCGAAAATATTTTCGATTTATTATAACCATAGAATTTTCTGTAAAAAAAATGTTATCGACAAAATTACACATGGAAAAAACCCGAAATTTCGACAACCCACCGGGAGAAAGGCTGAAAGTTTCCCCTAGGGGGATGAGAAATGGTTTAATTTGATAAAACTGACGTGTGCGGGCATACCAAATAAATTAAAAACTTTTTCAACTTTTACCCCTCCCCCCCCCAGAGTACTAACTAGATGAAATTTATGATTTGTAGAGTTGCTACTCGAAGGAATTGGTTCAGTATTAAAAAAGTTACAGTGTATACACATAAAAAAAAAACACACATCAGAGTAAAGCCAATACCTTTTGCCGATCTACATCGAAGCTAAAAATAAAACCATTTTCTAAATACATGTTGTTTTTCAAAATAAAATAATCAGTTTTAGGTTTAACCCTTCGTCAGTAGAAAATTTAATTTTTCAGTCATCTTCTTCACTTTTTGAGTCTTTGGTAACATAAATATAAATTGCTAAAGGAATAATGTGTTGGCCGTTAGAGTTTGAAATACCCGTTTATCGATATCACTCAGTTCAAAACACAATAACAGTAAAACATGTGGTTGTTTATCAACCAAAACGGTTTTTAAGACTAACGAAGGGTTAAGAAAATTATTCTTCTTAATTCGGTCTTATTCATAATGAATCATCTGTATTTAATATAAAACATATATTTGATATATCTTAACAATTTATTTGCATATTACCCTCCTACACAGAAAAAATATATGGTTGATCTAACTTAAATTTTAATTAGTATAGTGACTCATACATATCTAGGTGGAAAAACTAAATAGTTGGCCGAACTAAATGTTATCTGGAACAAATGTTTAACTTATTCGCCATAATTTATAAGTTTAACATTTTATATTTAACATTTTCACTTATTGTGTTCGAAAAATATCTGCAATATTTGAAATATGGAACAATCACTTCATGCAATGCTAACCTAAGTGGTTTATTGCTAACGAAATGATTTATCTGGCGCACGTGTTTCTTAGAAACATGATGTTATGTGCTGTTATTTTCCAAATAATATTGCCATGTGAGTAATTTATTTATTTATTTATTTCAACTCTCATACTTTAAAAACTCTGTAGTTGAAATAACATTTGTTAAATAATGTATATTGTTGTACTCAGATAGAACAGATCACACAAAACATAAAACTTATAACAAAATACTGTCTATTATGAAACGACACAATTATTTGTCCTAACTAATAACTATAAAATTATAAAACAAAATAATTAAAAAAGGTCTAACATCTTCTAAGTTATTGACTGGTCCATAGTTAACCAATGACCTAATATATGTATATAATAAAATTCATCTATCAGATTATAGACATTTGATATTTTATTTAACTAGAAATGAATAAATTATATTATACATGAAAGGCTCATAACTTATCACTAATAACAATAAGGGCTTACCTACCATTAGCTATTTATCCTTCCCATACGTAGTATCATTTTGATAAGGGAAGCCCGGTTTAATAACAGATTTCAGTGAGTCTTTGTGGGTTGCTTTTAATGAGATTAATCATCAATGATTTTCTAACCTAAATCTGGGTATAATAATTTATCTAAGGGGTTTGCATGCGGTTGGTTTTTAAGGAGTTTTGTATAGGCAATATTTAAGAAAGAAGTGGTTTTAATAAATTTCGATCATGTCAATTAATTTACCGGTTAATTTGAATAAGCTTCATTATATTATTTTTAGTTTAAATTATTTTGTCTGTGAAAAAAAACCATTTTAGATAATATAACATCCTTTTTTCGTTACATCGCACAGGCTGAACCAGTTATCCGATAAGTAATCTGAAAACAGATTTAAATTCGTCATGAAGTTTACTTATGATCGGTCAGGGTACTTTTTTGACATCTTATTCCTACTATGTATAAAACACGTTTTAACATTATAAAAAATTTCAAATTTTCAAATCAAATTTGGAAAGGGTTAAAATTTTAAATTAAAAAAACCCTGACCGATCATAAGTAAACTTCATGACAAATTCAAATCTGCTTTGAGGTTGCTTATCGGATCACTGGTTTAGTCTGTGCAATGGAATAAAAATGATGTGTTTTGACTGAAAAACCCGACCGCATGCAATCCCCTTAACATCAGGAATATTTGAAATATTTGAAAATTGAAATATTTGACAGTAATTTCATAAAACGCTAACCAAAATTGTTTATTGCTAACGAAATGTTTTATCAGCCTTCCGTGTTTTTTTAGAATCATGAAAGTTCTGTTATTTTCGTATAAAAAAAATAACATTGCCATTCATGTCATACGCTTTAATTATCAATGTTTCTAGATAGTTTGAATAACATTTGTTATATAATTTATAGTATATTTATTTTAATGTTTTTTTCACATACGTTTCCAAAATAATTACTTGTAAATGTTTTTAAAAAGGAAAACTAAAAAGCCAGTAAAGTGATTCGGGGCATAGTTGGGACTGGGAGGTCACAGGTTTACAGACATTTTTAAATCTGAAAGTGATATCACAATCGAATAAACGAATCAGTAGATAGTATTTTAAAGCCAGTACAGTTCAAACCAAGTACAGTGTAAACCAGCAAAGTTAGAAAGTATTTAATTGAAGAGTTGTATTTAAAAGTTCTGTTATTTTCGAAATAACTTTGACATTCGTGTCATACTTTAATATCAATGTTTTAAGAATAACATTTGTTACATAATGTATACTATACCCATTTTAATGTTTTTCGATATATACGTTTCCAAAATAATTATTTGTAAATGTTTTTAAAAAGAAAAACTAAAAAGCCAGTACAGTGATTCGGGGCATAGTTGGGACTGGGTGGTCACAGGTTTACAGACATTATTAAATCTGAAAGTGATATCACAATCCAGTACAGACCATACCAAGCACAGTGTAAACCAGCAAAGTTAAAAAGTATTTAATAGAGAGCTTTACTTAAAAATAAGCATCCAAGCGTTAATATAAATGTGATTTCCGCGAGAACTAGTACAGTACAGTATAGGCACAATGGAATCAAAGCATAAAAGGACGGAAAGGTCTCAAGTCTACAGGAGTTATTATAAGTAAAATTGATGAAAGTAAATAAAATCACTTTCAAATAAAATCCTACACTTTTTCTCGAAATTTTAGCCAGTCAAATTTACAACTTTAAAATTCTTATTTTGTTTTTCACTAAGTTTGCTATGTTCTAGTGAGTTTAAAGTCTAAAAACCGGCAATTTTTTTTGGTTTTTGGGGGTGAAGAAATTGATTTTTCTACTTTTGATCCACGCAAACTATTTTGGATATATAGAAAAGATACTCAAGTAAATCGGTCCAAAGGAAAAAAATATCTGACCACTCTTTTTAGGTATTAGGATTAGTTTTCACAGTTTTTTCTTAGACAAAACATTAACAATCAATTTTTAAGATAATTGTTTGTTTTATTATTGTCCCATTTTAGATCATTCTAGATATGTTCTTTAGATGGGGCACTATCAATAAACGTTGACAATATATGCATATATTTTGCACATGAGTAAACATTTTTAAAATGTGGTAAATACCTATAAAAATAACAGAATGCCATACAATGCAAATAAAAACGTTCTTAAACATTTGTTTCTTAAAGCAAATTGCACGGTTAAATAGTTCCAAGCTTGGTACTATTTTCATTATTCTATTATATTTTCTTGTAGTAAGTACTGCGGTTATCAAGCAATAATAAAATATTCCAATAACATTATAAAATCGTTAAAAGAACTATTATCAAATATTTTAAAAACAGTTTTTAATTAAAAAATAAATAATTAAATATTCTGGACCCTAGTTAATTGTTTAAATATTTAAAATGTTTTTAAAAACCATAACACTGTCTTTTTGCGTGGCATTGTATTTTTTGCAATGTCAAGGTGGTCCACCTGATGATGTACAACGTGTAAGTATAATGAGTACTTATTATTTATGATAAATAAAAAATGCTGAGATTGTTGCTAAACTATTTACAAAATGTAATGTAATGTAGAAAATGTATTAAATGTTTTCCCTTTTCTATTTTTGCACCAAAGAGTTTTTTAAGTAATATTTTCACTTATAACCAATTACTGATAACAATAACAAAAACAAAACTTTAATTACTATGAAATGTATGTTATTATGCTGAAAATATTTACAAGCCATATCTTATGTCTGGTAGTTAGGCATTTTTTCGTTAAAAAGGGATCAGTTTAACATGCAAATTTTAAAACACAATTGACTAATTTTTATTCTTATAACAATAGAATACAATAGGAAGAATTGTCGGTGACTTATACGTGCCAAATACGCCCCTAACCTACGAAGAATTTTTAACAATATTTAACCAAGTAAAACAGGCAACAAATGCAGCTGGAGAACTTTCCAGCCTTGTTGATTTAGAACGGAGTATAGCAGGTAATAAAAAACAGGATAATATTCAACAAATGTGTTGAGTAAAATGTACAAATTTATTGAAAAGATATTGTAACACAACATTTTGTTTTTTTTAGCTTCTACAATTAAGGTAAAAGATGCTATAGCTTGCGCCCAATCTATATTTGGTGACGATGAAGCGACGGTAAATAATAAACTAAAATGATTACTATATTACAGTCTAAAGGTTAGTTAGGTGTTTTTTTTTTGCGGAGGTATTTGAAGTACCCAAACTTCCAATTATTTTGTGTAAAATTGGTTTAATTTTCTCTTGTAAGTATAACAAGTACATAATATTTATGATTATGAATGTTCTGAGGCTTTTTGCTGTTATTTGCAAAATGTGAATTACTGTTTTAGAAAATTAAACTTACGTTTTAACGTGTCTACTAAAATGTTTTAACTGTAAATTTAAATACACATTTTAATGTCTATGTTTATTTCAATAACAATAGGATCTTGTAGAACGATTTTGCCATGAAAATCGTTCTCGAATATTCGGTACCATAGAATTTAGACAATTAGTTGATATCATTCATGTTGTAAAACAGACAATGCAAAAGGATTTAAACATTGACACTGCTGTCCAAATAAAAGATGAAATAATAAGTAATACATAATAGAAAAATATTTAATAAACGTGTTGAGAAAAATGTTCAAAAACGATTGAAAATATATTTTAATAATAAAGTGTATTATTAATTACACAACTTTAAATTATATAATTTTGCATAAAAATTAAATGTATTACACAATTTTACATTATTATTCTTCAATTACGAAAATAATAATCTTTTGCAAGTGGAAAACATAATTTTTCTCAATATATTTGCTGTTGAATTGGCCTGATTCGTTTGATTATAAAATACATAATACTTTGTACTTTCAGAACGCATGTATCCTTGTGGGAGCTACTCTGATACCGTTACCACCATTATAGAGAATTTAGAATTTTGATTATATTATTAACTGTTATTAAACTAACATATATGTACTATGTAGTATGCCACATACAAATATGTAGTCTTGATTGATTAATAAATATTTTTGCTCTTACATGTAGTTATTTTATTACTTAGGGTTACTATAAGGGCACAATACATTTCTAGTTGAAATAACTAAAAAAAAAGTTGTTCCAACAAAACATTTAGTATGGCCATCTATAAATTAATCGTGTCCCTATATTAACCATAGTTTAAGTTGAACCAACTATATATTTTTTCTGCGTAGGAGGGTAGTATGCAAATCAATGGTTTAGATATATCAAATATATGTTTTTTGTTCAATACAGATGATTCATTAAGAATAAGACACATTTTTTTAAAAATTATTCCAATTTTTAGTTTTTCTATTTAAAAACATTTACAATTAATAAATTTGGAAACTAATGTGTCAAAAAATATTCAAATAAATATAATATACATTGTTACACAAATGTTATTCAAACTATATAGAAACAGAGTTTTTAAAGTAGGACGCAAATGGCAATGTTATTTGGAAAATATCAACAGTGTATTTTAAAAACACCTAAGGCTGATAAAACGTTTCGTTAGCAAAACAAAATGTTGGTTATTGTTGCATGAAATTATTGTCCAATATTACAAATATTCATGATATTTTTCGAACGCAATAAGTCAAAATTTTAAATATACTATTTAACCTATAAATTAAGGTAAATAAGTTACTCCCTGAAAAATACAAAGTTAGTCCAACTATAACGTAAAACTAAAACTATAAGGGCACAAAATATTTCTAGTTGGACTGAGTTATTAAAAATTTGGTCCTATTAACATTTAGTTGGGCCAACTATTTATTTAGTTATTCCACCAGATATATATGTGTCACTTTACCTAACCAACTATATATTTTTTCTGTTTAGGAGAGTAGTATACAAACATCTAAACCACTGAGTTTAGATATATCAAATGTATGTTGAATACAGATAATTCATTAAGGATATGACACTTTTTTTTTTAATTATTCCAATTTTTAGTTTTTCTATCTAAAAACATTTACAATTACAAAAATTTGATAACTTATGTGTCAAAAAAATATTCAAATGGATATAATATCTTACTGAGTTTAATTAATAATTGAATTTTTTTTTTCATATTATTTTTATACAATGTGATCTCAATTTTTCTAAAAAATCTAAGTTGGGAGGGGGGTAAAAACAAAAAAAAATTGTGAAAAATTAAGGTAACATTCTATAGAAACAATATGAAAAAAATAATTTAATTATTAATTAAACCCAGTATGATATTGACTGGTTCACGATAAAAAATCACTCTGTACATTATTTAAAAAATGTTATTCAATCTATATAGAAACAGAGATTTTAAAGTATGACGCAAATAGCAATGTTATTTGAAAAATAACAGCAAATAATATTATGTTTCTAAATTAACAGACAGATAAAACAATTTTGATTAGCATTTCAAGAAATTATTTTTAAATATTTCTGATATTGTTCGAAAACAATAAGTCAAAATGTTAAATATATTATTTAGTCATAAATTAAGGTGAATAAGTTTCTCCCTGAAAAATACAAAGTTGGTCCAACTAGTTGGTCTAACTATCAAATGTTATTCAAACTATATAGAAACAGAGGTTTTAAAGTAGGACGCAAATGGCAATGTTATTTTGAAAATAACAGCACATAATATTATGGTTCTAAAAAAACATGTGAGCCAGATAAATCATTTCGTTAGAAATAAACGAATAACATCGATACTATGATAATGCTTAAAAACCCTTTTGAGATTTATAAAAGATTTATATTATAGTTTACTAAAGAACTATTTGTTTAGTTTTATAATAAAACTTATGACTAAAGCAAAAATAACCGATCACGTACAATGTACGTTTTTAAGCAAGTGTTATTTAGGCTATGTAGAAACAGTTTTATTAAAGTAAATAATGCTAGTTATAAGAGTATTGGGACGGGTGGTGAAGTGTGAGCAGATACAAATAATACTACACTCCCCCTTCCCTCCTGCCATAAACTTGAAAATTAAAAATAGTTATCCAAAAACTGGTTATCGATTAGTCAAAATGTTTAGTACATTATTCTCAAATAAAAAAGTTAATGCAATGCATGCGTTATCGTTGAATTAAATTCAATTATTAATCATATCAAGCGAGATATTAAGGAGCCCAAGATAATCAAATCATCCTGTAGGAAATTTTATTCGAATAATGTTCTTATTCAAAAACATCAAACAATATGTACATCGTTTACCAAGATTTTTTTTTTTATCTCGTATTAAAATTTTAGACACAAGCAAAATAAGCTGATCACGTACAATGTACGTTTTTAAGCAAGTGTTTTTCAGACTTTGTAGGAACAGTTGTATTAAAGTGTGACGCAAAAGATAATGTTATTTGTAAAACTACAAAACGATACATATTTTTTAAAAATAAAACACTTATGTAAATTGAAACTTAATCATAATATACGTCATATATTCATATGAATATTATTAACATAAAATATGTTCATATTCTTACAATTTATATAATTTTATAATTATAGAGTACTGATATGAAATTCCCCATACAACATCTTAAGTTAGTTTAAACCTAAAATAGTGTACAAAATACCGATAAATTTACATCTGTTCAAGATAAAATATTAAATATGAATTACTTCTTCTAAGACCAGTGCTCGAAGTGGGGGGGGGGGGTCACAGGCGGACGAAGTCCGCTTTCATTTTTTTATAGATTGCAGCGTTCCGATTCATTTAATTAAGCGAGGAACGCTAAAAACGCGTCCCCCTGACGGATGTCTACTTTTAAACGATGTATTTGGATTTTACTTCTTTAATTTCTAATAATATTATAGCTATATAGGTACATATTACCTATATACATAGTTCTGGCTACAGTGATCTTTTTTTTTATCGTTGACATTTTTTCGCCAGTATTAAGAATACCATCGATATTTATTTGTTTGTATTTGTTTATACTGAGCTATACAATAATAGTGTATACTGTATCGCTGGATCAAGCAAAATATTATGACAATAATAACTCCTATTACCACCCTTTCAATAGATCTTACCACAAGACTGCACTCGGAGGTCGGCCGCCAAAAATATAATAATAATAGCATCAGTCGCTGTGTTGTTTAAAAAAATCGACGGACGACGATCAATGATAACTTCGAAACCAATTTTCAGTAATAATCGTGTCAGTTTTTCCTATCTTTACTAGTTACAACTGTTTCAACTGTTTAGTGACTTTGTTACTTTAAATATATTACTTTTATTTCAATATAATGTCAACTCGTAAGAACAGTTGTGTGTGTAATTCAATAACAGACCAATAAGCTACAATTTTCCTTAATCGAATCACACAAAAAATGGAACTCTCAGTGAACGGTTTTTAAAACAAGAGCATTTGAATAAATATTTCTGGCTTGTTTTGTCACAAATAAACAAAATCAATAATCTCTTTTCCCTGTCTTCCCCCGATAATCACTGTATCTATCTATCTAATTCTTGTTATTCAATAAAATGTGATCGAAAACAAAATTTTCGTAATTTTAGCTATATACGCGACAGGATTGCAGTAGAAAGTGACGTACTTACGGGGGAGGGGGGTAGGGGGTTCAAACCCCCCAAGAGCCCAAAAAAAAATTTGTGAATAAGTAATATATTTATTGTATACGTGTTACAATGTTACTCTCTAAAGTAATTTAGAACTTAAAGTAAATAATAGTTTAATAACTATATTTTAATTATTAAGTGTTGAGTGTTTTGTACAGCTTTGACTTTTGTTAACTACTAAATGCTCAAACGCATACCTATTCTGATATTAAAATTACAAATTTACAATAATTTTAAATAATTTAATTTAATTTATTATCTAGCACAAAGTAGAAAACATAAAATTAACACTTATGTTAAGTCCACTAAAAATTGGAATAATTTTTAAAAAAAAGTGTCTTATCCTAAATGAATCATATGTATTCAACATAAAACGTATATTTGATATATCTAAACTATTGATTTGTATACTACTCTCCTACACGGAAAAAATATATAGTTAGTCTTAACTTACATTTAGATTAGTATAGTGACTCATACATTTCTTAGTGGAGTAACAAAATAAATAGTTGGCCCAACTAGATGATAACTGGAACAAATTTCTAAATATTTATTTTAACTAGTAATTTATTGAGTCCCTTTAATAAGCATACTTTTATTAGGATCAAGATTTTAATAACTCAGTCCAACTAGACATGTATTGTGCCCTTATAGTAAACATAGTTTTAGTTGGACCAACTTAGTATTTTTTAGGTAGTAACTTATTCACCATAATGCATAGGTTTAATAATATATTTAACATTTTGACTTATTTTATTCGAAAAATATCAAAAATATATGACAATAATTTCATGAATCGCTAATCAAAATTGTTTTATCGGCCTTTTTATCAGGGTTTTAAAGCATTATCATCGTATCGATGTTATTCGTTTATTGCTAACCAAATGATTTATCTGGCTCACATGTTTTTTAGAAAAATAATACTATGTGCTGTTATTTTCAAAATAACTTTGCCATTTGCGTCCTACTTAAAAACTCTGTTTCTATATAGTTTGAATAACATTTGAATAACAAACTAAAAATTAGAATTATTTTTGAAACAAGTGTCTTATTCCTAATAAAACAACTGTATACATCATAAAACATTTATATGATATTTCTTTACTGTTGAATTGTATACCGCTCTAGCATATATTTGGTCCATTTTAAGCTATGGTTAATGTAGGGACATTAATATTTTATATCTGGCCCAATTAAATTTGTTGTTAGAACAACTTGTTAATTAGTTATGTCAACTAAAAGTTCATTAAACCCCTTTATTAAGCATACTTCTATTAGAACCAAGTTTTATGTTTTTGTTAGAGTTGCTTAATCACCTTTATTTATAGGTAACACAAACTCTATATTGTGCTAATATAATTTATTATTTGAACGGATTGCTTTTAATAAGAAACTTATTCATCAATGATTTTGTGATTTAAAATTCGGTATAATAATATATTTAACATTTTGACTTTAAAAACTCAGTTTCTATATAGTTTGAATAACATTTGTTAAATAATGTATTCTATACTTATTTGAATACTTTTATGACCATGAGGCATGAAGTTTCCAAATTTAGTAATTGTAAATGTTTTTAACAAGGGTAACAAAAATTATAATAATTTAAAAAAAAGTGTCTTAATGAATCATCTGTATTCAACATAAAACATATATTTGATAAATCTAAACCATTGATTTGCATACTACCCTCCTACACAGAAAAAATATATAGTTGGTCCAACTAACATATTGTTAAGTAAAGTGACACATAGGTGAAATAACTAAATAAATGGTCGGCCGAACTAAATGTTAATAGGACAAAATTTTTAATAACTCAGTCTAACTAGAAATATTTTGTGCCCTTATAGTAACCATAGTTTTAGTTGGACCAACTTTGTATGTTTTAGGGAGTAACTTATTCTCCTTAATTTATAGGTTAAATAATATATTTAAAATTTTGACTAATTGCGCTCGAAAAATATCAGGAATATTTGAAATATTGGACAATAATTCCATGCAACGCTTACCAAAATTGTTTATTGCTAACGATATTTTTTATCAGCCTTACGTGTTTTTTTTTAGATTCATGAATTTTCTGTTATTTTCATACAAAAAAAATACATTGCCTTTCATGTCATACGCTTTAATATCAATGTTTTAGGAAGTTTGAATAGTATTTGTTTTATAATTTATTGTATATTTTAATGTTTTTTTACACATACGTTTCCAAAATAATTATTTGTAAATGTTTTTAAAAAGGATAACTAAAATGCCAGTACAGTGATTCGGGGCATAGTGGGGATGGAGCATGGTGGAGTCGGGGCATAGTTAGGACTGGGAGGTCACAGGTTTACCGAAATTTTTTAAATCTGAAAGTGATATCACATTCGAAAAAACGAATCAGTGGATGGTATGTTTAAGTCAGTACAGTCCAAACCAAACACAGTGTAAAACAGCAAAGTTAAAAAGTATTTAATTGAAGAGCTGTACTTAAAAATAAGCATCCAAGCGTTAATTTGAATGTGATTTCCGTGAGGACTAGTACAGTACAGTATAGGCACAATGGAATCAAAGCATAGAGGGACGGAGAGGTCTCAAGTCTACAGGAATTATTATAAATAAAATTGATGAAAGTGAATAAAATCACTTTCAAATAAAATCCTACCCTTTTTCTCGAAATTTTAGCCAGTAAAATTTACAACTTTCAAATTCGTATTTTGTTTTTCACTAAGTTTGCTATGTTCTAGTGAGTTTAAAGTCTAAAAACCGGCAATTTTTTTTGGTTTTTGGGGTTGAAGAAATTGATTTTTCTACTTTTGATCCACGCAAACTATTTCGGATATATAGAAAAGATACTCAAGTAAATCGGTCTGAAGGAAAAAAATATCTGACCACTCTTTTTAGGTATTAGGATTATTTTTCACAGTTTTTATTGGACAAAACATTAACAATCGATTTTTAAGAAATATGTTTGTTTTATTATTATCCCATTTTAGATCATTCTAGATATGTTCTTTAGATGGGGCACTATCAATAAACGTTGACAATATATGCATATATTTTGCACATGAGTAAACATTTTTAAAATGTGGTAAATACCTATAAAAATAACAGAATGCCATACAACGCAAATAAAAACGTTCTTAAACATTTGTTTCTTAAAGCAAATTGCACGGTTAAATAGTTCCAAACTTGGTACTATTTTCATTCTTCTATTATATTTTCTTGTAGTAAGTACTGCGGTTATCAAGCAATAATACAATATTCCAATAACATTATAAAATCGTTATAAGAACTATTATCGAATATTTTAAAAACAGTTTTTACTTAAATAATTAAATATTCTGGACCCTAGTTAATTGTTTGAATATTTAAAATGTTTTCAAAAACCGTGATACTGTCTTTTTGCATGGCATTGTATTTTTTGCAATGTCAAGGTGGTTCACCTGATGATCTACAACGTGTAAGTATAATGAGTACTTATTATTTATGATAAATAAAAAATGCTGAGATTGTTGCTAAACTATTTACAAAATGTAATGTAATGTAGAAAATGTATTTAATGTTTTCCCTTTTCTATTTTTGCACCAAAAATGTTTTCAAGTAATATTTTCACTTATAACCAATTATTGATAACAATAACAAAAAAAAAAACTTTAACTACTATGAAATTTATGTTACTATGCTGAAAATATTTGCAAGCCATATAAAATATCTAGTAGTTAGGCATTTTCTTTTTCGTTAAAAAGGGATCAGTATAACTTGCAAATTTTAATATTCAATTGACTAATTCTTATTCTTATAACAATAGCATAACATGAGAACTATAGTCGATAATTATTTCGATGAAATTAGGAAGAACACAACCTACGAAGAATTTTTAGGATTATTTAACCAAGTAAAACATGCAACAAATGCAACTGGAGAACTTTCCAGTCGTGTTGATTTAGAACAGAAAATAGCAGGTAATAAAAAACAGGATAATATTCAACAAATGTGTTGAGTAAAATGTACAAATTTATTGAAAAGATAAATTTTTAATAATCAAGTCTATCATTTGTAAAACTGTAAAATGTAGTCCTAAATTGTGAACTAATTAAATAATTATTTTCGAATAATCGCTTCGATGTGTATCATTAGTTAGCATTTTCAAACAGTAAAGTTCATACCAAGCACAGTATAAACCGGCATACTAAAAATTAATTAAAGTGAGGTGCAGTGCTTACAAATTAGCATGAAAGTGTTCATTTGTTAGTGATTTCACGACTTTTATTAATAATATTTCCTGTATTGCTGGGTTCTCTCCGTCCACTCTATACTTTGATTCCATTATACCTCGACCCTACAGTACTAGTCCTCTCAGAAAAGAAACCATTCAATTAAACGCTTGCTCATTTGTATACACTGCACCTTACTTTAATTCTTTTTACTATGCTTTGTTTAAATTTGCGATTTATAGAGTTGCTTTAACAATAAAAAATAAAAATATTGTTACATAAAATTTTGTTCTTTCAGGTTTTATATATACGAAGGACGACGCTATAGCTTGCGCCCAATCTATATTTGGTGACGATGGAGCGACGGTAAATAATAAACTAAAATGATTACTATATTACAGTTTAAAGGTTAGTTAGGTGTTTTTTTGCGGAGGTATTTGAAGTACCCAAACTTTCAATTATTATGTGTAAAATTGGTTTAATTTATTCTTGTAAGTATAACAAGTACATAATATTTATGATTATGAATGTTCTGAGGATTTTTGTTGTTATTTGAAAAATGTGAATTACTGTTTTAGAAAATTAAACTTACGTTTTAACGTGTCCACTAAAATGTTTTAATTGTAAATTTTAATACATATTTTAATGTCTATGTTTATTTCGATAACAATAGGATCTTGTAGAACGTTTTGTCCAAGAAAATCAAGATGAAGATACCATAACATTTGATGGATTAGTTGAAATCATACATGATGTAAAACGGGAAATGCAAAAGTATTTAAACATTGACACTGCTGTCCAAATAAAAGCGGATATAATAAGTAATACATAATAGAAAAATATTTAATAAACGTGTTGAGAAAAATGTTCAAAAACTACTGAAAATATATTTTAAATATAAAGTGTATTATTAATTACACAACTTTAAATTATATAATTTTGATACAAAAATTAAATGTATTATGTAATTTTACATTATTACTCTTCAATTACGAAAATTTGAAATAACAATCTTTTGCAAGTGAAAAACATAATTTTTCTCAATATATTTGCTGTTGAATTGGCCTGATTCGTTTGATTATAAAATACATAATACTTTGTACTTTCAGAACGCATGTATCCTCGTGGGAACTTTTCTGAAATCGTTACCACCATTACAGAGAATTTAGATTTTTGATTATATTATTAACTGTTATTAAACTAACATGTAAGTACTATGTTGTATGTCACATACAAATATGTAGTCTTGATTGAATAATAAATATTTTTGCTGTTACATTTCGTTGTTATTTATTTCATATAAATTAGCTTTTTTAAAACCTATAAAACTCTAAACATAATTCTAATAGTTTTTTCAAAGGTAAGTTTTAATTCAGGTAATTTAAATATAACAATTATATTTGAGATAACTAGTAAAAATTTAATTAAACTTACTTTGGAATTATTGAAAACTCATTTTCATACAACTCAATAACATACAATTATATTTCTAAGCTAAAAAATGATAAATATAATATTAGACTACAATATTAGATTCGAATTTGCGTGCATTAATCAAAAGTATTCACTAGAAAAGACTTTAACAACTTATGGTTATATATAATAAAATCATATTTAAAACCGTTAATCATAAAAAATATGTACTCTCTATAAGTTAAATTAAAACCTAAATACCGTACTCGAGTATTAAAACTTAATAGAATCATTCTGAATAGATGTATATAAAAATGTCGTAATGATTTGATCAACTTTTTTTAAGATCTAAGGTGTATATGTCAAAATATACAAAATCTTCGAAAAACACAGTTTTTCGGCACTTATAGAAAATCTGTAGTGCCGAAATTGTTCTTCTTTTAATATGTTATGGACAGGGACGCCGCCAAGGGGGAGCGAAGGTGGGCGGCGCCCCCTCATAACAAATTCTTGCCCTTCTCTCGCCCCCCCCCCCAGATATTTTGCTAAATAGTATAATTTTAAATATTTGATTATTATTCCTAAAACCCAGATTTTAAATAACTGTATTTTTATATATACAAATTTAGTTATTACGGAAATTGTGAAAACAATTGTTGTTTTGATTTAAACCTATTTATCTATACAAATTTAGTTATTAGTTATGACATTGCCACCAAATGTGGCCTATTTTTATCAATATATTTTGAATGTTTTTGCAATCGGTTATCAATAATCCGTCGCCCATATAATTATGTGTTTTGGTGTATATATATATATATAATTATAATATTTACGTTTGTGTGTGTGTTTTCCAAAAATTCAGTGTTTATTGACGGATTGTTTTGGTTGAATAGCATGTAGGTATAACACGATAACTATAATCTCCACTGACTGGTTGTTGGGCGTTTTATAAGCCTTCATTTTTACTTCGACTTTCATAGAGTACAATAAGAGCTATATGATGGCCGACAGGTAAAAATAACGCTTATTTAAAAAAGTTGCCTAACTTAAATTGTACACTAGTATATATTGGCCCTTAATCTGTAATAAATTCATATTTTATACTATTTCACTTATAAATATTAAAGTCATTCACTGATAAATCATTATAATTGTTTTTTATTGACAGAAGTAGATAAAATTATTGTGGTTGCCCCTTCAAAAAATTCACTTGACCTTTCCCGCTCCCCTAAGAAAAAAATTCTGGCGCCGTGCCTGGTTATGGATACATGTGAGTTCTACCAACTGAAAAATTGTGCACTTAAGGTCTTAAAACTACGACTAAAAACACTCCGAAAAATTGTACACCCCCCCCCCCCCCCGCGAAACAAATGGGTATAATTTAACTAACTTTAAACCTCGAACGGTTTTTTTTTTGGTTTTTTTCAAATTTTAACTGTGAAGAAGAAAACTGGATTTTTGTGTAAAAGAGTTCAAACGTGGTCAAATTATATGTTTTTGGGGTCAGTGAATGAGAATTCAATATCAGTTTTCAATTTTACTTAAACTTAGTAAAAAAAAAAATTTAATTAAAACCTAAAAATGGTTCTTTAGTATCAAAACTTAATAGTATCATTCTGAATACATGTCCATAAAAATGTTGTAATGATTTGATGAAAACATTTTTAAATTTAAGGTATTTAAAGTTTTCCGGCAATTAAAATAACATAGGAATATTTAAAATATTGAACAATAATTCCATGCAACGCTAACCACATCGAAGATAAACATTTTTCTAGATTTTTGTGTAAAAGAGTTCAAAAGTGGTCAAATTATGTTTTTGGGGTCGGTAATTGCGAGTTTAATATCAGTTTTCAACTTTACTCAGCTAAAAAAACTTAAATAAAAAAAATGTAATTTTTTATTTAATTAAAACCTAAAAATGGTACTTGAGTGTCAAAACTTAAAAGTATGTCCATAAAAATGTTGTAATGGTTTGATAAAAATTTGCTAAAATGTAAGGTGTATATGTTAAATTTTTGATCAAAAAAGTTTTCTAGCAACTTAGACTAAAATATTTTCTTGACTAAAATAATGTTATTTAATGTTTTAATTTAATTTGATTAAATCGAACATTAAATTAACTAGTTTTTGATTTACTTCCGGGATGATTAAGTCTACCGTGATGGTCAATTTTTATTTACATGCTTTTCTTTAACTCGCTAACACGTACGTACGTTTGTTCTAGTATTTTCAAATCTTGCAAAATTAATTAATTTAACCCACTTCCCGATGTCGTAGAGGGCTGAAACTTGGCACAGGCACTCATCTTGGATGACAATACCATATCCCGTAATTATATTGGGACTCGGACATACAGGTCGCCCTACACAGGGTGTCACATGTGGGGGTCATTTCACTAAAATTGTATATTTTTTTAAATCTTCCAAAATGAATTTAACCCACTTTCTGATATCATAGAAGGCTGAAATTTAACCCAGACACTAATTTTGGATGACAATACAATGTTCCATCAAACTGTTATATAAATATGTATTAATATATAGATATATTAAATATATGTTTAATGTTGAATACGGATGATTCATTAAGGATAAGACACGTTCTTTTCTGAAATTATACTAATTTTTAGTTTTCCTTTTATAACATTAACAATTACTAATATAATATATTATGAAATCTTGTGTATCAAAAAAATATTCAATAAATATCATATACATTATTTAACAAATGTTTTTCGAACTATATAGAAACTGAGTAACTAAAGTATGACGCAAATGGCAATGTTATTTGGCAAATATCAACAGTGTATTTTAAAAACACCTAAGGCTGATAAAACATTTCGTTAGCAAAACAAAATGTTGGTTATCGTTGCATGAAATTATTGTCCAATATTACAAATATTCATGATATTTTTCGAACGCAATAAGTCAAAATTTTAAATATATTATTTAACCTATAAATTACTGGGGGTCAGCGAAATCCTCAATTATAAAAAATATTCAGGCTTTCCAAAATATTTGTATGCGTTTAATCACCGATGCTCCATGGTTTGTTACAAATGACACTCTAAAGCGGGGAATTGGGGGTAGTTCTTCCAAAAAATGATAACGCGTGATAAGAAATAAATGTTACATAACCTATAAAATGTGTAATACTACAGATAGTACCAACATCGATTTTACCAAAAACCCGCCAAGAGAAATTTCGTATTTTAATATCAAAAACATTGCCTTTAGTTAGGTTCTTATCTTTATTGCAAATTGTAGTTAGATATTTATCAATTCTCTAATTAATCGTATTCACTATACACGTAAAATTATATAATGTAAAATTCATTAAAAATTACATTGTATAAGTGTATATACATAACTTATAAGTATATGTTATAATTTAATATTATTTGGTATAAAATAATAATAATTTTATTGAAATTTCCCACAAATTGTTTATATTACTATCTAAATAAAACATTATTTTTACTTTTTACCTAAATTAGTTGACGATTTTAAATTGGCTGTCAAGTAAAAATTAGTTTTACCACATCTTACATATGTATTCTGTAGTTAAAGAATACAGGTAGGAGCTTATGCGCTTTGTCTTCAATCTTGTCTTTTAGAAGATATATTATTAACAAAATTTGGTACCTAAAGGATATATTAAAGCAAGGAAAACGGAACATTTGACACTTGTAGTTTAAATACCTCACATAAATAACTAGAATAAAACATATTTAATTTTCAAGTTTCTAAACAAATCAATATATACATTATAAACTTATAGTCCAAAGTGAACCTATTGCCGGATAAAGACTTGTGATGAGAAAAAAAATTGTTGTACGGCCCTTTTGCATGGGATAATAGGTAGATAATAAGAATATTGCATAATATAAAATTATTGTAAACTAGATTAAACAATTCTGTTATAATAATAAAAATGATCAAACTAGGGTCATAATTGTATAAACGTCATACTTAATAAATATATAATGTAATTTAATGTAATCTTGCTTTTATGTTGGTGAGATCATCAAATCAGACTGATTATCTTACTGAATTTTAAAAAAAAAAAAGGAAAATTAACTAAATAGTATCCCGTACCATACAAATTATATATTTTTAATAATTAAATAATTAATAACGAATTATCAAAAATAGTATTCAATACCAAATAACGTATTTTAAATGTCTGTATTAAAATACCTTGCAGGACTGAATGTTATTTATAATCTATTAGTAGGTTTTTAAAATAATTATCATTCACTTCATATTTTACAGAAATTAGTTTAGATTAAGCTACTCTGGGTATATATTTTTATTAAAGAAACCAAACTAAACAATATGAATTTGTTCAGTAAAAGTTATTCATATGATTTAAAAATATGATTCAATGTTTGGTCAATATAAATTTGCAAATTTACAATTATCTCTTGATTTGAAAATATCCATATTTGTTAGAAGATTGCATAGCCCATATTTTATTAATCTATGTACTTTTTCATTAAAATGGCCATTTACTTAGCGATAACCAAGTCTCTACGACGAACTTAAAGTTTTGATACCACACAAAAACTGTCTACATTCCATTTATTAAGAAATGTATACTTTTCTTATATTATAAAAATAAAAAATAGAAATAATACATATTATAAAATAAATAGATACAATTGCAAGTTGCAGCATCCCATCATATTTATTTATCTCTTATCTCGTTCTCATCGAAATCTGCTATTAAAGCTCTTTTTGCCTACAAAAAGTTTAATAAATTATAATACGACTGATTTAAGTATGTTAATATATACTTAAGATTGGTCAAGTTGTGAAAATTTAAATGATATAGACGTAGC